TACATCTGCGCGCACCGTCCCCTCCTCATCCTGCGTCGGCAGCAACACCAACACAGGCTTTGCAGAGTGCTGCTGTTGCTGCTGTTGGTCATGCTGTTGCTGCTCCTGTGGTGGTGGTGGTGGTGATGACTCTCCATGCTCCTCGCTGTCGTGCTGTTGTATCGCGACAGGCCCGTTCCCGCTGTAAATGAAATCATCTTCAACGCCACGAGTATCCGCCTTGTTCACGCCCTCTGCTTCGATCTCCCCATCCTCGCACGCGTGCGCGCCATTCACAAAGCCGCTGATCTGTAAATACTCGTCAACACCGCTCTGCTTGTTGTCCTTTTCCATCCTGTCCCCGTCGCCACTGTCAATGTCATCGTCTGCAAACGAAAACTGGACGGGCGGTGCAGGTGCTCCTGATGGTGCTTCGTCTTCTGCGGCAACGCCGGCTGTTGTCGTGTTGTTGTTGTTGTTGGCGTGCGTGGGGCTGCCATCGCTGTGGGTGGTGTTGTTATTGCTGCTGGCTGTGTCATTTTCATTGTTGTTGTCGTCGTTGGCCGGGGTGTTGTTGATTGTGTCCTTGTTGTTGCTGCCGTTTGTGCCGGTGCCATTGGCGAGTGGCGAGACCGGTGTTTTGCTTTTCGTCGTCACGGGTAGCCCCTTTGTTTCCTCGATAGTAGCTGTGCACGAGTAGCAAGCAAGAAGCAACATGAGATTGGCATTGGGCGGACACAGGTTGCAGTCATGAAGCACTTGTGTTGGGAGGGGGAGGGAGGTGGCTGTACTGCTACAAACACCCACAACACAGCGCAAGCCACCCACAACACAGCGCAAGCCACCCACAACACAGCGCAAGCCACGCACCGCTACAAACGAAACACACACACACACACACACACACACACACACACACACACACACACACACACACACATAAGCACCTTGGCGACAGAAACCATCTGTTGGGAACATGCCAGCCTTGCCCGTGTCGAGGTTGAGACCCTGCATGGCGGCAAAAGATAGGATAGAAATGAGAAAACAGAAAGGAAGGTGCGATCAGGGTGACGCGTGTTCTGTGTGTTGTGTTGTGTGCTTGTTGGATCGAGGCAGACAAGTGAGCAGGGAGTTGCATGGCTCGAGTGCGACATACCGTCGACCATAGATCAGCGTCCTCCGGCGCAGCCTGGCGTTGATCAAGCAAAGACAAAGACAAGGTGTGCAGATGCAGTTGCAGGGCGTGCACAAGGATGAGAAAAAGCAGCAATGTGCCACGAAGCCAGTATCCATGCACAAACAAATCCGTCCATTCTTTGCACGCACAAATGTGCCAGCATGAGCCCATGAGACGAAGCTCCTCCCTCCGTATTCCCACATCCGCGCAGCACATGTCTGCACAGCACATTGTCTAAACAACAAACAGCAACACAACGACCACACAACAAACTCGTCTACACACTGTGTGCAAACAAACCAGGTTTGTGATGATTTGAACGCGTTGGCCCGGCTTCATGTGCAGCTCATCATCCATTTCGGGAACAAACTCATGCTCACACACCACGACGCAGCCCACAGTCAGCCCCATGGTGCGTGTCCAGCCACTCCCCCATCAAACTTCACCACACGACGACGATGGTTGGCTGGCTGGGTCGCTGTCTGTTGGCGGGGGTGGTTGTTTGCTGTTCGCTCGATTGATTCGAAAACGCAGGAGACGACACCACAAAATTTTCCCATGAACTTTTTTTGTTTGGTGTGTATTTTCCTGAGCTGTGTGGTACGGGCCCAAACCACCGTGAACTGGCCTGCGAAGGACAACCAACAGCCAACAACCAACCAACGTGAGATGGAGTGAGAGGGAGTGTGGATGCGAGTGAGAGGGGTGAGAGTGTGGCAGGATGGAGTGCTGTCCTTGCTTCCTTGTGGTGTACTGTGTCACAGCTGTATGATCTCTCTTGCTGTTGCTCATGATGCTTGAAGCCCTGGGAGCAACCATTTTACCCATAGCTCGCCCACCTAAACACTCAAACACACACACACACACACACACACACACAATGCATACACACACACACACACACACACACACACACACACACACAACCGCACTACCACACAAAAACAGCATGGAAACGCAAGCACAGGGGTGGTTTATGAAGAAGGCCAGTGGGCTGGGCAAGGCGCAGAGGCGGTTCTTTGTGCTGGAGGGCCCAACCCTGACGTACTATGCCAAGGCAGATGGCTCCCGCGGCGTGGACAAGAAGGGCACCATCAACATCACCAGCGCCTCCGTGGTCAAGAGCAAAGGCCGCGATCTCTCCATTGCCGTGCAGGGCCGCACATACCACCTGCAGTCCGACACCACAGAACAGGCCAGCCAATGGGAGGTCATGCTCGGCGTCATCATCAACAGCCTCCGCAAGCGCATCAGCAGCGTCAGCAGCGTCAGCAGCAGCAGTAGCCCAGCGAGCAGCGGCAGCAACACCCGCACCTCCTCCGTGGCCAGTCGCACCCAGTCCACCAGCAAAAGCACCGCCATTCGCACGGGCTGGTTCGTGAAGAAGGCGGAGAAGGTCGGCAAGAACCAGAGGCGGTGGTTTGAACTCTACTCCTCGGAGATCCGGTACTTTTCGCGCCAGAGCGAGGGCAAGGGCAAGGACCGCAAGGGCAGCATCCCGCTCTCCGCCGCCGTGCAGGTGTCCTTTGACGAGCCAGAGCTCACCATCTACACCCCGTCCCGTACATACTACCTCATTGGCGAGGAGCCCGGCTCGGCCGAGATCTGGGCCCTGGACATTGCAAAACACACACCAGCCATCATGCGCAAGGCCGCCACCGGCGCTTCACCAACGTCGCCCGCCCGCGCCAGCAGCACCAGCGTCTCCGCTTCACCGCGCAGCGTCAGCCAAAGCCGAACAGAGCCAATGCAGCAGCTGGACGTCGCCGAGGAAGGGCCTCGCCCGCCCATTGATTCGCGCAAGTCAACCGTCACGTCGGACGTGTGGGCAGAGGGCGTTCCCAGCAGCGCCAGCGGCGGCAACAGCAGCAGCAACAACAACAACAGCAGCAACAACAGTACGAACAATGGCGGGGACAATGCCGCAACAGCAACAGCACCACGCGGTGGTATGGAGGAGATTGGCAACAGCGGCATGTTCAGCAACCCGTCCTTCCGCAGGAAGACGGCAAGCAGCGGCACCGAACACGCTGCCACGCCATCAGGAGGAGGACACGCGCGCACGGAGAGCCAGGGCTCCGCCGCCAACCAGCCCTTGCTCCAGCGCACAGACGTCGACGTCACAGACGACTTTGCCGACCCGCACCCATCAGCACCGCCCACAACGGCTGCTGCCAACACGGCCGCCAACACTGCTGGCCGCGGCGGCGATGGGCGTGGAGAGCGCCGCATGAGCGTGAGTCTCGGCGCAGACCTGACGGCCGAGTCCAGCAGCGACGCGCAGGGCGTGTTCTCCGGGTGGCTGACCAAGCATGCCGACGGCCTGGGCAAGAGCCGCAAGCGCTTCTTCGTGCTGGAGGGCGCCACCATCTCCTACTACGAAGACGCTGCTGGCGAGCACGCAGGCAGCGGGCTCAAGGGCGCTGTGAACCTTGAGGCCAACACGTCCGTTACTGTGGACGGCAAGCACATCCACATTGTCCAGAGCTCGCGCACGTGGCGGCTCACTGCCAACACCGCCGACGAGGTGGGTGTGCCGCTTGCTTCCTTGTTTCGTCACAGTTGTGTTTGCTCGTGTCAGTGTGTGTCGGGGTGGGGCGCAGTGTTTGTTTGGTTTGTTGCTTATGTTTTAAGTGGTTTGGTTTGGATTTGGGCATGGCGCAATGGGAGTGAATTGCTCTTCGTTGCACCCCCCCCCCCACACACACACACACACACACATGCACTGACATACACACGCACGCACACCAAACTTCACACACACGCACTTACACGTGCACGCAAACACACACACACACTCTCTCTCACTCTCTCACTCACACATTTGCATGTACGCTTTGTTCAACCACCAGGCGAAGGCGTGGAAGAGCCACATCGACACGGCTGTGAAGCGGTTGCTTGCAGGCAACGCCAGCAGCTCCAGTGCGCCCGGCACAACAATGGCGTCATCGTCAACAGCGGCAGCATCCGCCAGCGGCGGTGCTCGAACAACAACGAGTGACGGCAGCCTGTGCGGGTGGTTCAAGAAGAAGGCGGGCAAGGCTGGGCGTGACCAGGAGCGCTTCTTCATCCTCCGCTCGTCGCAAATCGACTACTTTGCCAAGGAGGAAAACGGGGCGGGTCGCGGTGCAAAGGGCAGCATCTCGCTGCTGGGCGATGTGGCCGTGGACACGGTTGGCCCCGAACTTCTGCTGTACACGCCCGAGCGCACGTGGCAGCTGTCGGCAACAGAGGAGCAGTGCAGGCTGTGGAAGCAGCGCATCCTGCAGCAGGTCGCCACCGTCAGAGATTACGCAACGCAGAACGAGGACATGCAACAGCAGCTGGCGAACCGGTCCAGTGCGCCGTCAGCGTCACTGGGCAGCAGCAACGGCGGCGGCAATGGCATTGGCATGGGCTCCAGCACCACACGCGCACGCACGGCGACAGCGGCCGGGCGCGCCAGCAACGCGTATGCGCACGTGACGTCGCTCCAGGGGTGGTTCCGGAAGCGGGCTGGCGGGGTGGGCAGCACGAAAATGCGGTATTTTGTGCTTGAGGAGAGCGTGGCCAACCCGGTGCGCATCGCCTACTACACAGACGCCGCAGACGACGGCAGCGGGCGCGACCTCAAGGGCGAGATTGCCTTCTCCAACATCCTGCGCGTGGAGGCTGGCGGGTCAGCCACGCTCACCATTCACACGCCCTCGCGCGGGTATGTGCTCGAGAGCAGCAACCCAGCACAGGTGGATGAGTGGGCAGGCGTGCTGCAGCACCTGCTGGCCACCATGCACAGGGACACGCTCGCCACGGGCGCCGGCGTGGAGCGGGATGACGATGAGGAGGAGGCAGGCATGGCAGCGGCACGCGGTGCTAGCGGCGCCAGCGATGAGCCCGTGCTTGCATCGTGGATGACCAAGAGGGCGGCCGGTGTTGGCTCCAGCAAGCGCCGCTTCTTCGTGCTGCGCGGCCGCGAGATTGCCTACTACGCGGAGCAAGGCGATGGATCACGCGGGGTAAACCACATTGGGTCCATTGAGATTGGGTTTCGCACCAAGGTCACGTGCGAGGACCTGAGCCTGTTCATTGTCAACCCAGACCGCACGTGGGTGCTGGTGGCAGACGACCGCTCGGCCGTGCTGCGCTGGCACCAACACCTGACGCGCCTCGTCGCCGCCCTCAACAAGGAAGAGGGCTTTGCTGCCAGCGGGCGCGTGAGCCCGCTCGGTATGCACAGCGACACAGAGGGAGAAGACCTTGAGGACGACACGGATGTGGTGGACATGCTGCCACGGCAGGGTGTGTGGCTGACGAAAAAGGCTCACACGCTTGGCCGCTCCAAGTCGCGCTTCTTCAAGCTTGTCTTCTCAATTGCGCTGCAGGAGATGCAGTTGCGTTATTACGCAACGCTTCGTGACGGCATTGCCTCGGACTGCAAGGGAAAGATTGTCCTGCAATCCCCAAACGACATCAAGGCCGCGAAAACCAACATCGTCATCGTGCGTATGGAAGGAGGGAGGAGGAAGGAAGGTTTTGTGTGCGTCTGCGTGTCTATGCGCGCGCGCGTGTGTCTGTCTGTCTGTCTGCGTGTATGTGTGTGTGTGTGTGTGTGCGTCAGCTTCCTTGTCACAGTCGCTGTTGTTTGTGCGTGCATGCGCGTGTGCTTCCCGAACACATGTGTTGCCATGCATCTCCTCACACCAGCATTGACTCACACGTTCGCTTGTTCCTTTCCCAATCCCAGACAACGTCCAAGCGCACCTGGCACCTGCATGCGTCGAGCGCACAGGAGGCGGCCCACTGGGCAAGCACGTGGACCGAGGCCATGCTGCTCCACAGGGAGGGGCGCAAGGTCCTCACCACCACCACCGCCAGCAGCAGCGCCACCGCCAGCAGCAGCGCCAGCGGCGGGCTGTACTCGGCGGGGGCAGGCGCTCGCATTCCGCTCAACGTGCGGCTGCAGCAGCTGCTGGGCAACGAGGCGCTGGGACGCGACGCCATCCTCACCACGCTGCGGCAGGAGTACGGTGGCGAGGTCGTGGATAGTGCGCAGTCGCTCATTGACGATGCTCTTGCCCGTAAGATGCGCGAGGAGAGGGGGCGGCCGGACATGGCGGGCTGGCTCATCAAGGCCGCGCACAAGTTTGGCCAGAAGAAGAGCCGCTTTTTTGAATTGCGCGGCAGCGTTGTGCGCTACTTTGCTGAGGAGCAGGAAGGGCGCGGCGTCAACGAGAAGGGCTTCTTTGTGCTTGAGGACGATGCTGACGTCACGTGTACCGACATGACGGTGGAGATTGTCAACACCGACCGCGTGTGGCAGCTGCACGCCTCGTCTGCCCAGGACGCACAGGCTTGGGCAAAGGCCCTCCTCGGTGCGTACCCCTGTGTGTGTGTGTGTGTGCATGTTTGCATGTGTGTGTGCATGTGTGTGCATGTTTGCGTGTGTGTGCGTGTGTGTGCATGTTTGCATGTTTGCGTGTGTGTTTTTGCGCATGTGTATTCTTACTTCCACACACACACACGCGCGCACACACACACGCGCACACACACACTCTCTCTGTCTCTCTCACACTCACTCAATCGCTCACTCACACCCCCCCCCCCCCCACACACACACTCGCTCACACGTACGTGCAGCTGCGCGCGGGAAGGCTGTGGACACGTCGCTCGGCACGGACGCCTTTGACGGCGACGACCAGCTGGCAACAGAGGCAGAGGTCGCGCTGCCAGCGCTGGGGAGCGACTGGATTGTCAAGCGCGGGCAGGGCCGCATGGCGGGAGACAAGCGGCGGTATGTTGTGCCCGTCTTTGGCACGTCATCACGCAAGCTTAAGCTCAAGTATTACGCAAGAAACGACGACACCGGGCCCTCTGATCCCAAGGGCTACATCCTGCTCACGGACCCGGAGGCCATCATGGTTGAGGACTCCACCATCATCATCGTACGTAAAAAGTGTGGCGACAGCTGGTCAACACAACGCATCACCTGGATGCACTCACAGCGGCACAAACACGAGCATCTTCCCTCGCGCGCGCGCGCACGCACACACACACACACACACATCAGCAATCAGCACACGCCGCAATTGATCACATACACACACACACATCTGCATGCACTCACACCACACCACACCACACCACACCACACCACACCACACCACACCACACCACACCACACCACTGACACCACAACACACACCACCACTGACACCACACCACACCACACCACACCACCGCGCCCCTTGCCCCTTGTCACTGCCCAACCTGTTGCTCGCCACACCAGGCGACGGATGCGCGGCACTGGCGGCTGCGGGCGTCCTCGGACCGCATTGCCGAGGGCCTCGCTGATGGGTGGCGCCAGGGCGTGCGCGCAATCAATGCAGACACGCTTGCACACGCCGGCGCAAGTGGGGCGGACCAGTGGAAGCTGCCGCTGTACGTGCGCGGGAACGAGTTGCTGGCCCAGCACCGCGATGAGGATGACATGCTGCGCATCCTGGAGAGCGAGTACACGCCTGCAGAGCTGGACGCAAACGCCGGTGTGCTGCAGCAGCTGCTGAACGTGGCCAAGCTGCAGCAGCTGCGGGAGCAGAACCACTCGGCGGCGGTGAGCGGCTGGTTTGTGAAGAAGGCGCACAAGCGGGGCAAGGACCGCAAGCGGTTCTTCCAGCTGCTCGGCACGGACGTGCACTACTATGTGGACGACAACGGCGGGCAGGGGGTGATGCACAAGGGCACAATCAGCATCGACCCGCTGGCGGAGATCTCGGCAGAGGGCACGGAGCTGACCATCATGACTGGTGGGCGCGTGTGGACGCTCATTGGCGACTCGGAGCTGCAGGCGCAGGAGTGGGTTGAGGCGCTGATGGACGCGCGGCAGCGGGCCAGCGAGATGCAGACGCTAGCAGACGCCGCAAAGCCAAGTCGCATGGACGTGCCGTTTGATGGCGTGGAGGGTGGTGGCGCAGAGGGCGCTCACGCCCGCACGCGCAACAACCCACACAGCAGTGGTAATGGCAGCGGTAATGGTGGCGGTGTTGTGCCGGGCGATGCATTTGGGCGTCGCATTGCAGGGGCCAAGGAGCCTGAGATTGACATGACCTTTGGCGAAGGTGTGTGGCTGGACAAGCAGGGGGAGGGCATGGGCCGTATCACGGGCGACAAGCACCGCTACTTTGAGATGGTGTTTGGCGTGACCTCTGCCTCGCTCAAGCTGTGTTACTACGCCGGATACAAGGAAGGGCCCGTTGATCGCAAGGGCGAGCTGAAACTGGAGCCAGATTCAGACATTGCTGTCAAGAACAAGACCATCTTCCTCGTGAGTTTACCCTAGGCAGGCGTGGCGAGCACATGTTTGTGCGTGTGTATGTTTACGAGTGCGGGTGTGCGTGCATACGCTGTGTGTGTTTGCGGGTGCGGGTGCGGGTGCGGGTGTGGTTGTGTGTTTTGTTTGCATTGTCTGCTGTGCGTAATTTTGGGAGCAAGTAGCATTCATTGTCAACTCCGCACCCCCCCCCCCCACACACAAACACATACATACACACACACACACACATACACATCCTCTGCTCACATACTCGTATACCACCACATCCTCCCTCTTCCAACCAGTCACTGCCCGGGCGTCGATGGAAGCTGACTGCGGAGACGGCCAAGGCTGCGAAAGTGGCAGTGTCGCAGTGGCGGCAGATTCTGCTGGATTATCGCGACTTCAACGCCCTCCCTCTCGACCACGCCAGCCATCGCCTGCCGCTTGCCGTGCGCGTGTACCAGCTGGTGGCGGGCGTGGCCGGCAGCGAGGTGATGGAGGACGACATTTCGGCGCAGCTGCGCGAGGAGTACACCGGGGATGCCCTCAAGGGCACGGAGACGCTTGTGGCCCGCGTGGTGGCAAACTTCAGGCTGTTCTCAAAGCAGACGGCGCCCACGGTGACGGGCTGGTTTGTGAAGAAGGCGCGGCGAGTGGGCTCGAGCCAGCGCAGGTTCTTTGAGCTCATCGACAACACCATCAACTACTTTACCGACTGCGTTGACGGGCGCGGTGTGGACTGGAAGGGCAGCGTGCACGTCACGCCGCGCTCGCACATCCAGCAGAGCCTGCGGCAGCTGCTCATCAACAACCCGGACCGCAGCTGGGACCTGACGGCAGACACAGTTGAGCAGGCGCAGGAGTGGGGCGCGGCGCTGCGGGCGGCCAAGAAGAAGTGCGAGGAGAAGAAGAAGGCAACAGAGGCCCGCATGGAGCGAACAGGGTTCTCGGAATCAGCAGCCGTCCCAGAGGTGCCTGTTGTGTGTGTGTGTGTGTGTGTGTGTGTGTGTGTGTGTGTGTGTGTGTGTGTGTGTG